TGTATTGCTGAACAGCATTGTATGCTACAGACGAATGCTTTTGTGAACACCACTGAATGCATCTGGAAGGAACTTAATCCACATAACAGGTAGTAACTGCAATGCACATTCTATGGAAATGTACAGTAATTCACAGCATACTTTGTTTATTTTGCATTTTCATTTGGATGAATACCACACACCTGCCACCAAAGATTTAGAGATTTAACTGCAACCGAACATATTAAATAGCAGGACTGTCTGACTTTAGGCAAAGTGTAAATTATTTATAGATCTAGTTGCTGGGTGGGAAGAGCTCTAAAGATATTCTTTGGAGAAAAAATATTAATGTTTAGGATTGAGTATCATGCACCATGCATAATCTGTGTGTAATGTTCGCAAAGGGAATTACAGTATTCAAGAAGAGCATGGGATTTAAAAACATCTGTACACTGGAGGGCACACCTTAGCTTTCTAACAATCCTACACATCTGTGGTAGTTTATCATTGAAGGTGTGCATGGGCTATACCAATTATACATTTATGCAAATTAGAATAAGTTTCCTTTCAGTCCCCCCTCGCCCACCTTGCTTCGAGCATTCTTGGTGAGCTTGGCTTGATTTCATTTTAATTTTATAAATGCACTTGAGATCTGAACTGTACAGGATTTGCTCAAGTCTGAAGTCAAGGGCAAATAAATCTATTTTCAGAGTTTTCATATATGACTTCACTTCACTTTGCAGAGTTTTGTTTTGAATGTGTTATTGGAGAGCAAATATCAGCACATGAAGTCTGCTGCATAGCTTAACTCTATAGCTGAGGGGACAGTCCTTTTTAAAAAGAAAAAAAGAAAAAAGAGATGAAGGCAAGTATCCTTTTATGCAATATAATTTTGCACATTCTTGTTTTGCAAAGGTTTTTGGAGCATTGGATTGTTATGCAGTCCTGGACCAAGAGGGATTTGCATTCGGCAGATACCCACAGCCAAAGGATTTGTTAGTTAGCTGAAATTAATATGTGAAATGCATCCCTCACCAACTCACATTTCACCAGCTTCTCTGCAAGAATGTCATGGGGGACTTCTCAAAAGCTTCACTGAAATCAGGAGCTTCACTATGTCCATAGCATTACCCTGATCCACAAAGTTATTAACTATTGAAAAAAGAAATGAGATTGGTCTGGCATGACTTGTTTTTGAGAAACCCATGCTGGGTCTCAGTAATCACAGCATTCTATTTTTAAGTGCTCACAGACCATTTAATTGTATGTTCTAGGACCTTTCCTGGTATCAGCACCAAGTAGTTACCTGGGTCTTCCCTCCCTTTCTTTGAAGATGGGAACAACTTTTGCCTTCCTCCAGTCTGCAAGGACCTCTTACCCAGTAGTTCCTTGAGCTTTCTGAAATTGACCTTCTTGAAGTCCCAACTGTATGCCCAACTACACTATCACATGGTCCTTCTACAAAATGTGACCAGGGAGGGCAACTGTTTGTCAGCAGTAACCATATACCCCTTGTAATATCTAGGTACACAGTTACTCACTATAGAATGTCTGGCTGAATTTAGTGGCGCTTGCTTCTGAGTAAATATACTTAATATCTTGTTGTTAGTGTCAGACCATTCTTGGATTTGGTGTATCCTCTATATATCTTTTAGCTAGAGAAGTCCAGAGATTCTTCGCAAATTGTGGGGTGGACAGGATGGTCGTCCCCCCTTCTTGCAGCAAAGTAAAGTAAGAAACATTTAACCTCACACATTCATATCCTATTTTAATCCCGTTTTACTCAGCTTGCCACATGAGAATTTGGTTCTGTTTTCCACTCAGTGCCCATTTTTTTCAGTACTGCATTTTAGATTTTTCTTATGAGGCTCAAAAGGAATATTTATGTGCAAGGAGGTGGTTGAGAATTTATTGGTCATGGCAGGGTGCACAAGGACTTGCAGTTGCGCAACAGATAAAATGGTAACTATTGAGAAATATGCCACAATCAAGAATTAACACAAGCAACAATCAGGAATTGAACAGAGGCACTAGAATAGCTAAATTGTGGTTCTTCATCCTTAAAAATCCTAACATTGCTCAGGCTTCAGTTCTTTTAACTCCAAGTGACTTTCCTTGTTGACATTTCAAACAGAGATATACATTTTGTATATGCGTCAATGTGACCCAAACAAACTATGCTATTAGACAAATATTATTCAGAAATAGGCAAAACCTTGGTGCCTTTGGCATGTTTTGTTAATAGTAGACAAAACCACACTGCGATATTAAGCAAAATAAATAAATATATCACTATGCACTTAGGTTTCCTTTATTTCTTTTGCATGCTGCATTCAGGGAACATACAAAACCTATTCCCATTGGCTGATGTTTCTTCACAGTTCCTGCCCTCAGTCACCAGTGCTCCATTCATTTTTCTCCTATCCCTTCTATTGGTGATTTCATCCTTATTTAACAGAGGAGTCTCATTTTTCACATTTTGAAACCTATAAAACTGATAAACGTCCCATTTTGAAATCAGTATACCTCTCAAAATTAGTAATAACCATCCCACCAATTAAGAATCATTTAAGCAAATGAGTACAGGCAGTCTATTTCATTCAGACAAGTACCTTTCTACACTGCCAACACATCACACATTTAGTATCCCAATACACACATATCTCTTTGTTCTATGCCAGTATTTTAATGTCTCTCAGAACTTTAACGTAACATCCTAATCATATTATTTATCTTTGTAACATCCCAGGGAGTCTGGTGTTATTTTCATTTTCTAGACACAATGGAATAATAAAATGATATTGAAACTTGGGGTGGCTGTCTGGGGATTCAGGCTTATTTTATTTTATTTTATATAGCTCACCCTGTGACCCAGGGAAAGGTACATCAAATTTAATTTTAAAAATGCATCAATGCCAATAAAAGCATTAAAACAATATAAAGCCAATCATATAAAAACAACAACAACTCTTTACTACAAACATCAGTGGTCTTACACACCAAGAACCCACATCAGTTAAAGTCTGACTAAAGCTGGCACCAAACCCAACCAGTGCTGGTTCCAGCCAGATTTCAAGAGAGAAGACATTCCAATTCTGGGGAGCCACCACTTAGAAGGCCCTTCTATTTGTTGCAATGACTGTCCCTAGGCCTGGCAGACAGCTAATTTTAAACAATCCTCTTCTGAAGTGCCAATAGCCTCATAGTTTTAGAACAGTGCAGTGACACACTCATTACATTAACATGATTAACATTATTATTATTAAGCCCCATTGCGCTTAACGAGATTTCTGAGAAACAAGCTAAGGATTACATTGTGAGAGGCAGACAGCCAAACTAGAGAGTGTTCAAGGAGAATGTTCCATGAACAAAATAAAAAAAACTGTAGAGCTGGAAGGAACCCCAAGGATAATCTGTCTCAATCCCATGCAATGCATTTCCTTTTAGAGCACACCAAAGAGTTGTCTAGTCTGACACCCTGTGCTGTACACTGATCTACCTGATGAGTAATAGACTGCAGCAACAGGAACAAGCTGCGGTTCTGTACTGATTCCACACAAACACACCATCAACATCATCTGCAGTCTACTCTTCTCTCTGCAATATCAGAATAATAATATTGTCCTACTTTATAGTTATAAAATGTTCAAGAGGACCCTCATCCTTTGCTCCATGCCAAAACCTGTTCCCAGTCTCATAAAGATCGATTTCAAAGAAAGACCCAGTGATTTTGAATAATGGTACTTCCAGGTAAACATGCCTAAGATCAGGTCAACTAATTGAATTATAGGTCTCATACCACAGTCATCTTATCACAGAAAACGAACCTCCAGACCAGCCAGCCTAATACAAAAAGTTGAAGTTTCTAACATTTTAATTTACAGCCGAACTGTACAAGTTTCACTTTTCTGTATTAACTGGAGTGAAACATAAAAGGTTCACAGAGGCTGTGCCGTCCAGTGGGACTTGTTAGCAGAAAGAAAGCCCTCAAGTGCTACCTTTTTGATTAAGATAACACTCAGTAGGGGATCCTTCTTGAATTTCACATGTTGGGGAGAAAAGAGAGAGAGAGAGAAAGATGCCAGGAGAAGGATGAGCTCTGCTCTTGCCCAGGAAATGCAAGAAAAGTTTCAGAATTAAGCAATAACAACAGTTGCCTTGATTCCTTGTATCAGGAGGAAAGTGTATAGGGGCACTGGATTGTGGCATGTGGAAAGGGGAGTTAAACCTTTCTCTCCCAACCACGATCTTGACTAAAGACCCCCAGCTATACCCCAATATGTTACTAGCCTGTCAGGGAACTGCCATCAGCTCAGAGGCGAGAGGTGGAAGGACAGTTGTGTTACAGGGAGCCTTCGAAGATCTTGCAAAGCAGTTCTTCCTCTGGCGAGGAGGGAAGCCCCGCCTCCAGTGGGGAGGAGGTGCAGGGACCAGAAGATGCTAGGGAAAGCCTCAACACCGAGCCTGAGCAAAGCGGAGGGGAGGCAAGTCCCCCTTTGCCAGCGCCCACTCTGCACAGTAGGTTTGGGCGCAGAGAAGGGAGGAGAAGGATGGGGGTCACACGACTGTTATGCTGGGGAAGGTATAAGGACCACCCACTCCCAGATTCTGCTAGCGACTGAGCAGACATGGGCTTGCGACGCTCTGCACTGTAAATAGTTTGTACTAATAATAAAGTCCAGAAAAGACAGGTTGGAGTCTTGCCTGTTTGCTCTCGAGCAACCACACCAACACCTGACATAGCCCAGAACAGTCTCTGTGGGTTTTACTGCTGACCAGCAAAAAAAATAAAAATCAGATCTGATGGGAGGACAGTTCAATGGAGAACATAGCTCACTTTCTCCTCTCTTCCCCATCCTAATTCTCATTACCTCCAGAGGATGCCTGGTGAGCCAAGGTCCACCTGGTCATCAGGAACATAGAAAGCTGCCTTATACTGAGTTGGAATAGTCATCAGTATTCCCTACACTGGCTGGCAGCGCTTTCCAGGATTTCAGACAGGGTTCTCTTCCAGCCCTTCCTGCAGATGCCTGGGATTGAACCTGGAACCTCTTGCATGCAAAGCAGATGCTCTACCTCTGAGCTACAGCCTCCTCCGCATTGTGCAGGGCAGAACAAAGCCTTGTTACCTCTCAATTCCTGGGCATGCGTCCCTTGCATCAGTCCTCTGGACAATTTTAGTGGAAGCAGGAGGCAGTGTACTGTCATGCCTTTTTTATGATGACCCCCTCATTTTTTTATTTGTTTTATTGCACTGACCAGTTTGTGTTTATATTAGCCAAAAACTCTTGTTAAAAGGGCTCTCCCTTTTTGGGTGAGAGTTTATTACAAAACGTCTGTAGCCTGCTGCTATACGACATGCCACTTTATTTCTTCTCTGCTGGCTAAATGTATTCACTCTTTCTATTTTATAAAACATGAGATACCAATAACTTATAAAACTGTGTTTTTTTAATAGGGTCTTTTTCTCTTTGGTTTCCTAGAACACAGAGGCTGCCCTCTTCACGAGTGCGACATCTGGTTGGAATAAACTTAGTTAATTATCTCTGTGGTGACTTAATTAACTGTGGCTTTTTTCTGCATTACTAATAAAAGGGAAGAAGTCTTTCTTTAAAAACTTTATACAATACTGCAAGAAACAGACTGAGCCCACTCTAAAAGTGGCAAACGTCTTGCATTTCCACATAGAAAAAATAATATGTATGCAGAACATCAGGAGCATCTATTTTTTCCTTGTATGCCCAGGCAATGGGATATCTATCTTTGGCCACAGCACCCCAACACTGAAATGCACATGCCTGAGATCATCATCTTCTCATATGACAAACTATATGCACTGTGCTTGCTTTTACTCTATACACCCATTCTATTTGCACCAGAAATTTCACCATAATTGCAGCAGTGTTTGGGGTCTTAATATAGCCCATGCAGATGATCTGGTTATGGCAAATTGTTAAATGTGGATTGACTTGGTCTACTGTCTCTCCTTATATTCTCTTCAGAGCTCTCTCCCCGATTCCCCACTTCCCTTTATTATCTAGTTTCCCCATATGATTATTTCTTCCATACCATCTACTTACATAGCAAGCAGCCTTGTACTTCATCTGACTATGGTCCATCTAATGCACGATGGTCTACAATGGCTGGCAGCAGCCCTCCAGTATTTCAGAGAGGGGTCTTTCCCAACCCTGACTGGAGGTGCTGGGGATTCAACCAGGGTCTTTATGCATAGAAAGACAGTCACTGAAATCCCTTTTTCTTTCTTTTTGTCAGCTAGTCAGCATACAAAGCAGATGCCCTACCACTGGACTACAGCTCCTCCGTTTGGCTTGGGATCTATAGTAAACTCCCACAGTGAGGTCACTGTTATTCTTCTCTCCTTAATTTTGACCCAAATGCTCTCACTTTGGCTTTGAGGTTCTAAATCTTGGATCTCTTCACAGGTATACACATCCCTGACATATAACGCCACTCCTCCTCCTTTCTTGTCTGGTCTGTTTCTCTGAAATAGATTGTATCCCCCATTATTACATTCCAATCGTGGGACTTATCCCACCAGGTTTCAGTGATGCCTATTATGTCATATTTAGTTTGCTGTACCAAGAGCTCAAGCTCATCTTGTTTATTTCCCATGCTTTGCGCATTAGTGTACAGACATTGAAGTCCATTAATCATTTCCCCGTGACTCTTATTTAAGGATTTTTTCCTCCCACCACTAGGTCTGTGTGCTGTTTGCTCCATTTGGTCTATGACATTTGGATGATCATCTTCATCAATTGATAGACTCCTACCTTCAGGAGCACTATCTCCCTCCCGCACATTAGTCAGTTTAAAGCCCTCCTGATGAGGTTTCTGAGATTTTTGGCAAAAACATTTCTCCCAACTGTTGTGAGGTGCAGCCCATCGCTTGCCAGAAGTCCATCTTCAAGAAACTGCAGTCCGTGATCTAAGAATCCAAACCGTTCCTGTTTACACCATTTGCGAAGCCAGCTGTTCACTTCCACTATTTTCCCTCTCTCCCTGGGCCACGTCGTTCAACTGGGAGGACAGATGAGATCACAATTTGTGCATTTAATTGCTTCAATTTCCTGCCCAGAGCCTCGTAGTCTCTTTTGATCTTCTGGAGGCTATTGCTTGCAGTGTCATTGGTTCCCACATGAACCAAGAGGAAGGGGTATTTGTCAGTGGGTTTTATGATTCCTTGCAGTCGTTCAGTTACATCTTGGATCTTAGCCCCGGGGAGACAGCACACTTCCCGAGACATCTTGTCAGGCCCACAGATCACTGCTTCTGGTCCCCTCAGTAGGGAATCCCCTATCACCACTACACGCCTCCTTTCTTCCGTGAGCTGTCCGCTCCAAGGTCGCCTGCACATTCCCTGAGGACTGACTTTGCTGCTCGTCTTCATATACCTGATCGACTGTAATGAGGGAGAGATCCTCAAATGGAGTCTGCTCTTCGTCTTCCATGCTAGGGGAGAGGACCACAAAGCGATTGTGTATTTCTAAACAATCAGAGCGAACCCTGGGCCTCCTACTACTTTGAGTCACGTTTCTCCATATATCTGGCTCCTGTGTTGGTGAACTAGCGTCCTTCTCAGGGGAGTCCCCTGTCTCCTCCTTGGTGGAGACGGTGTGCTCTGTTGCTTCCAAGAAGAGCTCCAGCTCTCTAATTCTTTGGAGCGTAGCTACACGTTCCTCCAGTTGCTGGACTTTGTCTTTTAAGAGGGCAATCAACATGCAATTGCTGCAGGTAAAGCTGCCTGCAACCTTTGGCAAGATGGCAAGCATTGCGCAGGAACCGCAGGCGACTGCAGCTGTTCCCTCCCCCTCCATCTTGAGAACGTGTCGTTGGGGGTGGCTACAGCGGTCCTCCATCATAAAAAGCGTGAAGAAAGGAAAAATAACTCCCCCCACAAAAAAACCTAGGTCTTCACCAACAAACGTTTGAGACTAGCTCCCCTAAATCTAAAAGATGGATCAAACTACTGCCCTGCAATCTCTGATAAGCTCCTCCCACAGCTAATCACCCGCCTCAACAGAAACCCTGCCCCCTCTGACCTTTGCACAGGGAGAGCAGCCAATCAGCCACAAAGAAACACAAACACACAAGAAAACCCTTTTTGCTCCTTCTTCAACTGCTGCCCTGCAATCACTGATAAGCTCCTCCCACAGCTAATCACCTGCCTCAACAGAAACCCTGCCCCCTCTGACCTTTGCACAGGGAGAGCAGCCAATCAGCCACAAAGAAACACAAACACACAAGAAAACCCTTTTTGCTCCTTCTTCAACTGCTGCCCTGCAATCTCAATATTTCTCCCAATACTTCAAGATACATAACTCCTGCTAGAAGTACTTGCCGTTCTTCTACTCTGAGAACAGGGCCAGCCCACCCATGAGACAAGGTGAGGTATCCTCCTCAGGCGGCATGATCCATAGGGCCAACAGATCCCCATGTAGATCTTTATTCCCCCCCAGTTCCTGATGCAGATCTTTACTCACCCTTTCTTCCCTGGTAGGGAGGGGTGATGCCATTTTGTGGTTCTCCTCAGATGCCAAAATGTCTTGGGCAAGCTGTGTCTGAGAGGTTCTGCATAGAGAAACCCAAAACACACACATCAAATTTAGGAAACACAAAATTTGTATCAAGATACCATTCCATATTAGGCTTTTTTTCTACAACCAAGTGGTATATAAATGCAATGGGGGGGTGTAATAAACTAAAATAAGCTCTACTGATGCCAGGGTCCGGTACAAACTTATGACATGAACCCCTTCCCACACAGATACATACAATCTTATGAAACTGCATTCAGACAGCACTTTATTCCAGTTTCCCAATGTTTCTTTACCTGATAATTTCTGCTTTTTAGGTGATCATTCAAAGGATGTAAAATCTACTTCCAGAAATCTAGCAGAATCTAGTGGAGGTTTAACCCTCATTTCTGTGTTAATTGTTTCCAGAAGAAAATTTGTTTGCAACCCCATTCACCCACAATATCATGGGAGTTTTCCGCTGGAATTTTCTCACGCTTTACATGGATCATGCCACGTGATGAAATTTGGGTAAACCATCCATCACACAGTTCTTTCCCACCGATTTCATGGGTGATTCATGGGGGAATAGAATCACACACGCACAAAAAGGGTGGTGTCAAAGTCTCTGCCTATGTTTGTTCTTCCCATTCTGTCCCTCCCTCTAAGAAATGGCCTGAGCTGCCCACCATTTCTCTAAGTGAGGCTGACACATATCCCCTACCAAGCCCCTTCATATGCAAAAAGGGCACTTAAGGGACCTACCTGGGAAACATGAGATATCTAACCAAAAAGAGCTTTTGAAAAACTGAGGTGCCTTTGCAATCTTGCTCCCATTCCAACACCAAAGGATCCAGTTCCCTTCTAGCACCAGGGTTCCAAGACCAGCCTTTCTGATTCTTTGTAAGTAAATCTGAACAAGGGGTGTAGAGCGTAGGCTACAATTAATTCCGTTTTAAAACCACAGGGCTCTGGTTTATTTTGTACTGTATTCTGTTTTGACATCTTGCATGCTTTCCCCCTACCTTTATTCCTAATAAAGTTTCTTAATTTGACCATTGGAGTCTGTGTGGTTGGCAACCTCAGGGTTTTAGAATCCTCACAAGCCTAGATGCTTGGCGTTCAGGCTACTGGGAGTTTACGATTGGAGGTTTAAGTCACCCAGAAAAACGGATGCTGGAACTCAAGATGAAGTTGTTACAGTAAGTCGCTGGGCGACTACAGGACAGCCCTGAACAGATGCCAGTGCCCCTAGTTCTGGTGCACGTCAGTTAAATGGCCTCTGCCTCCCTTGTTCTCTTAGACTCAGGCAGATAGCTAGGACAGCTCGGAAGGGTTCTCGTGCAAACACATGTCTGTGCAACAGTAGCGGCCTAGCTGGAAAGCTTAAAGCTTGACCAATCACGCTTAGGAGCTAGGTGGAGTCATAGATCTAAAATAAAGTGTAGACTCGCTGGCCAACTTCTGTTTTGACTTGGAATGTTTGTTTGGGGCTTCTCAGAAGTACGTAAAGGCAAGAAGTCAGCCCGCAATGGCACCCACCTGAGAGGTGCCAGAAACGCGCTCCACCGCTCTCTGACTGATAAAAAGCATGGACCAACACGCTCCTCTGAGGTCGGGAAGAGACTCAGAGAGAGTGTAAGCTGCTGGTACACTCCACCTAAGCAACAAAGGTGCTGAACCTTTAAAAAAGTAATGGTTTTAGTGTATCTGAGTTTCCCTCCCATCTGGGATTGCAAGAGTAAGTGGAAGGTTGGCAGCAGCACTGCAGGGCTGCTGTTCATTGTTGGGCAGTGGCTGAGGAAAGTTCTTGTAGGCTCTCTTTGTCACAGAAGTTACTAAGAGAGGATTTCACATGGGGAAAGACAGATCTCTGTGTCCCTCAAATGGCAAGAAATGGCATCTTCACTGCAGAAGGAGGTATCACTGCTCTAAAGAAGGTCCGAACCAACATTTCATTGTTCAGAATGTTATTTGTTCTTTTCTGACATTGCTTCTGTTTGCCTCTAGGAAAGCTCACAAGATCTGGGTAATAGGTACATAGCTGCAAGGAAACACGTTTCTATAAATAACCTCAAGCATGATCTACAATTTAACCTCAGTGTTTTTCTTCATGGTGATGAGGCTGCATCTCTGGTAAAATGTGCCTCTTCTCCCCATGCCTGACTAATGTGGCTAGTCAGTAATGGATAAAAAGGCAACATGAAATGTAAACCTCTGCACCTGGTGGCACCAAAGGAAAACATAAGCTATTCTAGAATATTCTAAGGAAGGTTTAAAGTGAGCTTCAGAACAAATAGTTCTTTTTCATATGACGCTGCACAGTGGACACCTTCTTCTTCTAAATCAAAAGTAGGGAACCTGTGGACCTCCAGATATTATTGAACTTCAGTTCCCATCAGCCAACATAGCCAAAGGTCAGGGATGATGGGAGGTGTTGTCCAGCAACATCCACGTTCTAGGTACACCAAGCACCACACTCCAAAGTACCAAATGTCTTTGCTGAGCCTTCATTTCATCACTTCTGCTCCTATTAGTGTATATAGTGTCTCTGAAGATACACTATCCTATTGTCAGTGTATATAGTGTATCTGAAGAAGTGTGCATGCACACGAAAGCTCATACCAATAACAAACTTAGTTGGTCTCTAAGGTGCTATTGGAAGGAATTTTTAAATTTTGTTTTGAAATACAGTGGACGCTCGGGTTGTGAATGTGATCAGTGCGAGATGCACATTTGTAACCCGCAGCATTTGCAACCTGCGTCTGCGCACGTGCGGGTTGTG